ACGAAGGTTATTATTAATCACAGATTTTGAAAAGAAAAAAGTTCTAATTTCAGACTCTACACAAATTTAAAGCCCCACGTTCTTGGGAATCTTCTTAAATCAGATTTATCCTTTCAGTAAATTCCTTTCAGCACGTTCTTAAAAATGCGTTCAATTTCGTTTTTTTTGCTGAATATTAACAACCGGGAATTTTTTAAGATTTAAACCGGGAAAAAACCGGGAATTTCAAAATGAAAATTCACTGGCCACCCTGATGAGAGAAACAAAACTCGAGTTCATTTTAGAGCTTCGAAAATGTAGAGCCCTGGGTAAATAATAGTTGCAATTTCCAAACCTACGACTGGATGCCTTCCTTCGAATAACAACTCCAGAACAACATGTGAAAAGGGCATACAAGCTTTTTGTAAACAAACCTTCTTATGCCTTTTTCTCGCCACCCATATGACACCAACGCAAACCTTTAACATCACTGATTAGGGGACACTTTCCCCTTCCCGATGATATTGCTGGTTTGCGTGGGCGACCCTCAGTTGGTGAGAAAAGGGCCTACAAAGGTTTGTTTACAAAAAGCTTGTATGCCCTTTTCACATGTTGTTCTGGAACTGAAGTGCGGTAAAAAATCGGTAGAACTGTTTCAAACACACAGTTGGTACTTGAGCGGGTCGGTTTTCATCTCTTTTTGCTAGTGGTGGTGAGGGGGAGACACCCCTCACCACCCCTCTCCAAAGGGGGAGTTTGGTAAAGAGAGATGAAAAAACCGATTTGTACCTTCCTTAAAAGTTGTCCTAGCTCACTATTCTACTATCTATATGCAATTTTCACACTACCGTACTCTAACGGAACTATCAACTCTATGCTTTCATCTACTCCATCTATCGTATAAAAATTACCACTACAGTCTGTTATTTGAACTTAGCATCTTCAACTATGTAAATCGTTGACTTCACGTAGAAGTAATACTAAAACATATAGTCAAAGACTTTATGTGTCAAACATATACTTCATGACCTCTTCTTGTAACATACAAGTACTAATAAGCATTATACTATTTCATGATTTCATAATTCCGAAAAACATTTTTTTATAGCAAGTGAGTGGAAGTAACCCTGCTATACACTGTCAGTTCAGAACAAAACGTTTTCAAATGCGATCGTCGGTGCTTTTAGACCGCATTATCACTGACCTGGCAATACTAGTGTGCATCTTTCCAACAAGGTAAAGATCCAGATAAGCCCTAGGACCTTGTAGTAGTCAAACTACGATAAGATTTTGCCAATGGCCTGTGAAATAATTGGTCTTTGTCGTTGGAAGTATCTAGTCTAAAAAGGATCAATCAACTCTTGTTCTAGCCTAAGGTGCCACCACTAGATTTCTGAATAGAAAAGTAGGAAAGAACAAAAAACTAGATGGCTCTAACCCATCTAGCATAAACGTGGAAAGATTTGACTTAACAAATGGATATTTTACCATTTGCGCTGTACTTCAACGGGATAATAAAAAGGAGGGAGTATTGGGCATTTTTCGTTCTTATGACCATAAGCTGTTCTTTCATACTTTTATGGCGAACGCATTATGCCAAACGGGGTAGAGTCTGTGGATGAACGTGAAAAATAAACGATTCATACAGTTAGCTACACGATATTGTACTAGGGGATACGCTCCAGTATTGACCAGATTCCTTTATTGGCCATTTCACGTTGTTTACAATTTTGAGATGTTCAGTTGCTTTCAGTTTGTTGGTACCACCCCCCGAGCATCTAGACAGAAAACCTTAGTTTCACGTACCCACTTGCAAATTGTAGATGTCTCCACCGTACGTAAACAATGGGGTCAGCCAAAGTTGGTGGCACAACTTTTTTCACATCAGAAAACATGTTTTTGTTTCACTTCATGTGGACTTCGAAAGCAAACCAAGAATAAATTTTGAGTGAGACGTATTACTTTATTAATCCACCAGTGGTGTGATCTGGCACTTCTTATTTCTGTAAATTCTGATATTCTTTTTAAAAATTACCCCGAAAGCACCACCCTAATAAAAATGTTCCATACACGAACCATAACCCAAATGGTTTAACCATATGACACATAGTTCGGAACCTGCACAGGTTTTTAAGCACTTTTTATGGTTATTTCCTATGTGGGCACTGGGCAGTAACCCGACTAAAGGGTTTCGTTTATTTCGGTTATGTGGTTGCCGACAAACATCACTTAGTTCCCGGATTTTAGGGTCTTGTTCCATATGTCCGGAACCAGTTAATCGATTGAAAGTCTATTAACATTCTATAGAATCATGGTAGCTTTCATTTGGTTGTTGTTGCGTTCAATTCGGTAGAGTGGTTGCCGAGAAATACATATAAGAAAATTGTCTTACGCGCTCTCTCACACACATAAATAGACAGACATTTTCCGATCCCGTCATGCTGAGTCGATTGGAAGACTATTAGAAAAAATATCAATGTTTTTATAAAAAGTTAAAAAAAAAAACAAAAAACTTAAAACCGGGAAAAAAAAAGTTGATAAAAAAATAAGACCAATTGTAAATTTACTCCACCATTATTCGATTTGACAGAACCAGAGTACCAGAATTTTCGGGGTACATTAGCATTACACTGGAGCTGTCTAGATGCTCGGGGGGTGGTTGGTACATATCATATTCATCGGTGTGCATAAACATGTCAACAACAAAATGCACGACTATTGTAATCTAATCGGTTTTCTGAGGTGTGGCTAAAATAGGAATCTATGGCCAATACTGGTGCACTTTCCCTATTTATGATCCGGCACGGAAGGGAATCACTCGTTTAATGTGCGAGCTTATATTTGAAGTAGTGGTTAACATCCATACTGGCCATAAAAGCCTATCAGTCCCATCTGGAAAAACAGGAAGCCGAGAAAAACGCTGTTGATTTCTCCACATGCTCTTGTGGATGGGACAACCTATTTTTGCACAATGTAGAACGCCGGTAGTTTACAGTCGATTCTAATTAATCACTCATTTCTGACAAAAAATCCATATGGGACTGTTATGCCTATTTGGACTTTTTGCCAATCACGAATTTGTTCAAATCTCATCGCCGAACATGTCACGAATAACCCAAGAGTGTTAAAGTGATTACACTAAAACAATAAGTGAAGTAGTCTTGCCGATAATCGTTGTTTTTCATCTTCTCTGTTTCCAATCCACCTGTACTTACGACCCATACATTACAGTGTGACTTGGAGTATTGACTATTATACTTATCATCGTTTTCTATAACTATTACTTCATACCTAGTCCTACTCCAGGTTTGATGACGGTACAGCAACAGCCAAGCCATTCTCGGAGGCGTGCGTTGCGCTTTAGTAGTGGAGGACTTTCACTCAAGGTTGCTTCCACTCACTATGCTATAAAATTATTTTTCGGAATTATGAAATCATTACTAGATAGAGCTGGAATTAGGGCGTAACAGCCTTCGTGAACAATGGCTTCAATTGTTGATTTCTCGAAATTCAAGGCACGCCTACACAAACCAACATATCCATCGAGTAGGAGAAGTCTTCCTCTACTCGATGGTGATGTCGATTTGCCAGGGAGAGCCATGATTTCCGAGAAATCATCGAGGGAAGTCATTGTTTACAAAAGCTGTTACGCCCTAATTCCAGCTCTATCTAATTTAGATGTAATGATACTTTGTACTTGTCAGCTACAAGAAGAGGTTGTGCGATATGGGTTTGACACATACAACCTGTCAATGTCGCTTTCAGAGTCACAATCAGCGATTTTAAGATTAGTGAGCGCTCATTCTGAATTCCGAAAATCAAATTTAAAGCGAAATGAGTGGAAGCAACCCTGGTTTCACTTACATTGCAACAATCGCATCGTGACGGTGATAGCGCTTGCGGTTCGAGACAGAACTGGCGGAGTCGATTGCATAAATATTACACAGTTCAATTTCAGTTCACCATGTACCTCCATACTGAAGTCGGTCACAGCTACATACATGCATAAATTGCAACATGATTCCACAACCGGCTTGAAATTTTGTGGACCTAATGTAACTGTGCTGTTTTAGTTATGCACTAATGCAAAAAGCTTTCGAAGCAGTCGGATAACAAGCACAATTCCTTTCAGTTTTCGCTCAATCTGACTGTTAATTTTGATGCTAATGACTTATAAGAGGCATCTGCAGAAATAATTAGCGAACAGGTATGAATATTATGCTTGTTTCCTACTGAGATAAGAAGGTTAGATCCCACAACCGGCAGAACGTGTTCGAATCCAACAAATAAATGTTGCATTTGAATCGAATCTGCCCGATTTCGATAATTTAGCCATCTCCGGCTTCCTTTATCTAGCTTGCTATGAACTTTAATTTATTCATCATGAACCGGCTTGGAGCTCTTCCTTCTAAAAAACGAGGGAAAAGTTTACAGTACTGCACACATGTATTGGTAAATTCGGTTTATTCTATTATCACTGCACATCGTATAAGCTTCCGAATTTACCTACACATATGTATGGATTGATTCGCATCGCACCCGCCTCTCCTTCGACTCCACGCCACACCCTCTGCGTTGTTTCTGACGATTTTTAGTGCCCACTGGTCAGTTCTGAGACTCTTCTACACGCTTGACTGTCCAGTTCGACTTCTTTTGAGTAGAGCCGACACAAACGCGTTTACTAGCAAAGAACCGATGATGATGGTCTGGTTTTCATTTCGACTGTAGGGCAACACCAACGTACGTACGCAGTGAGGTAATGTGCCATCAGGAGAAGTATTGGTGTACAGTTCCGCGCATACTCACCCAACACCAACTAATAACAAAAATAATGCCCGCACACTCAGCCCTCCGTAAACGTGTTTAAACTTATGCTTTCAGTTATTATCCTTTTACACGTTTTCCGTTGTCGGGATTGTTTTGATTCGTGGCAGCCTCAGTATCCGCTCGAAAGAAGCGGGAATTAAGTTACCGAGAACTCTTGCTAATGTCGTTGTCCGTTGTTCTTTCTTTATTTTTAGACCAAGCGTACGCCATCGAAGCGTAAGAACGATGCATTCCAGAGGGAAAGTGAAGAGTTACTAAAGACCATGGGCATGGACCCCTCGGAGGAAGGTGGACGGCGGCTGCGTACTCGGGCCAGTGCACGTGGAATCAGTGCTCCAGCAACCCCAGCTACTCCCCCGGCCAAGAAAGCTCGTACGGCAGCCACTCCTTCCAAGCGTGGCCGAGGGAAAAAGGAAGATGACGATGAGGAGAAGTCGCCGGAAACCGATACTAAAACACCGAAGAAGCGTGGACGTCCCTCTGCTAAGGACAAGCTCGATGCTGATGAAGAGAAGCATGACGAAGAGGAAGCCGAGGAGGAGAACACTGATGAGGCAGATGGCAAGAAGGAAGAAGAATCAAAGGCCGAGGCAAATGATGTGCATGACAAGACGGAAAAGAAGGAAGACAAAGTTGATGTTGTTGTAAATAGCACAGAAAAGGAAGAGGCATCTAAGGACGAGTCCAAACCGGCAAAATCAGCTCCGGAAAAGATGGACGTGGACGAAGATAAACCCGCAAAGGAACAAAGTCAAGATGCTAAAAAAGCAGAATCGACACCTTCGGAAAAGCCAACGACAGAATCGGCCGCCGCCGAGGAAAAACCGAAACCTGCAGAACCGGAACCTGCCGCCAAGCCAGTGGAAGAAGATGTACCTGCCCCTCCCGCTGAAGAACCGAAAAAGGAAGCCGAACCTGCCACGGCAGAAGCAACCGTGACGGATGGTAACGGCAGTTCGACGCCAGCTGCAGAAAAACCAGCTGCTCCGGTGGATTCAAAGCCTACGCCCAAAAAGGCGGCCCCAGTTGCCAACGATGTTAGCAGCACAGAGGCGGAAAAGACGAACAATGACGTTGCACCGGCGCCGGTGGAGGAAACGAAGGTGGAAAATTCCGGTGAGTATCGATTTTAAATTGCTCGGAACAGCTAGAAAAGAAGTATGGTCACATTTTTGTCTGTTTTTCGGGTCAATTCTCGCGTAACTTTTCAATCGGACCAATGTAACATATCCACAATTATTTTGAGAAAATCGAAGTTGAAGTTGGACCGATTATGATTTTAATTGTTTAGAAAAAAATACATTTTGCAATACTATTTTTACCGTAGTCAGTGAATAATAACGTTGGAAATTCAGTAGAAACGGTTCAATCGCAATTTTACATAGAACGTTTTGACTAGTCGTTCATCGGACATGTCACATTGGACGATTTTTCCCAATGACATAATCAATGAGTGTTACATTGTACGTTTTGTTTTACATGATACTGGATTCCCTTTAACAGATTTCAGAATAGAGTACCTAACCTAAGATTGGATTTCCAAGCACCGCTTTTAGTAAATGAGCACCAATCATGTTAGGCAGTACAATTGTTCGAAGTAACAATCCATGTACCCATCATTTCAAACAGGGTTGCTTCCACTCACTTGCTATAAAAAGATGTTTTTCGGAATTGTGCAATCAGTAGATGTTATAATGGTATGTTGTACTTTTAAGTAACAGGAAGAGGGTGTAACGTATGTGTATGACTCATAAAACCTGTCAATTTCGCTTTCAGAGCGTCACAATCGGCGATCTTATGATTCGTGAGCGTTCACTCTGAGTGTGCGCTCACGAGTCGTAAAATCGCTGATTGTGACGTACTGGAAGCAATATTGACAAATTTTATGTATCAAACATATGCTTCATGACCTCTTCTTGTAACTTACAAGTACTAATTGGCATTATACTATTTCATGATTTCATAATTCCGAAAAACATCTTTTTATAGCAAGTGAGTGGAAGCAACCCTGATTTCAAACTGTACCAATTTTTACCTATCATGAAAATAAATTTGGATGGGAGTTTACCCGAGCAAAGCTGAAGATCAAATTGAAATCAAAATTTGTTGTTATGATGTAACTTATTTTGAATACTCTAGTTGATCTCATTTTGGTTGACTTAACGGTTAACACAGCAAAATTGAGAGCAAAATTTTACACTGTTGAAGCAAACGGAAAACTAATCCTGCTTTCAATGAAATCAATTTGATTACTCTTTTTGCATTCATAATGTTTAACTGAATACGGGCCTGGCATAAATGGTTAGCATCCATGCTTCTCACGCTGAAAGACTGAAAAGTTGAATAAGTCAAATCTCACCCCGGACAAGTCAGGAATGACCTAAAATGTGTTAAACAAAACAAATAAATAATAATCATTAGTTAAACAACAGATGAACTTAAATTAAATTTTAAACAAGACGTTAAGAGCAGAACTTCAAGTTAAGTTGCTTTCATTTAAAAAGTTTTGACTGCATAATGAAATCACAATATGATATCAGACTTATGTCGCGACAATTGAAATCAAAATGAGTTTTCATTATGATAGAAACTGCAAATTTTAATATCGATTTGCTTTCATTATGTTAACCGACTTTGCTCGGGTAGTGTATCACATACAATGATAGAAGAGCAATACTTCCGATACTCGCATAACTGGTCCATCTTTGCTTGATTTCCTATTCATACGGGACAGTTATGCTTTTATGGGCAGAATAGTTTGTATCGATTAACTCGATTTGTTTACATTTGTTACTTAGGAGCTTTTGAAAAATCCTGACGAATTTGGGCGTCTTAGTGGAATACCTGTATAAAGAGAGAGAGAAGGATTAGTAATTTCCATTTAATTCCACTACCTTATTTGTTCATCCTTGACAGATACGCGTATTTCGTTTACAATGTGCAGACTTCTTCAGTGTCTTGTACTAATATTCGACTGAAGAAAAACATCGCATTTCACCGAATATATATTAACCCAGGTACATTTTCACTTAGAAGCTAAATTTTTGAAAAGTTATGAGAGAAATATGCCTGAAAATTTCTTTAATGAAAAAACAATCACATTTACCTAGAATTTCTTTTATGTCCAATATTACGAAAAATATCTGATCTTTCATTTTCTCAAATTTTTCTAGTAAAACCAGATTTCAACATTCTTTAAGCATTTGGCAGATTAACCGTTATGTGATCAACAGGGTACCCGGGTACCTTTTCAGATTTCAAGTTAATAAATTATGAAGTTATTTTCACGACAGGAAACCAGAATTCAGTGACTTCGAAAGGGGGGGGGGGGTAGTGAAATTTTTTACCCTTTAGGAGCTCGACAAGGGTACCCGGGTCCCACAAAATTGAAATGCTTGCTACTGCGGCCAATTTTGACCGATTCTTAATCTTTTTTGGCACCATTGGATTCAGAAACTTATCCTCTTTCTGGACATTGCTATTAATGGTTATCCGGAATAGTCTGGTTTCCGGATTTCTTGTATAATGTTCCAGAACTAAGCATTTTCTTGTCATTTTCGCTAGAATTTCCAAGGAATCGATATCAAAGTATTAGAATTTCCTTAAAAAAAATTCAGCTTATTTGAGGACCAGTTTAAGGTTTCTCCCCGGAATGGCCATTCTGGCGCAGGTTCCCGTAGGGCCCCTAGTGGCCATAGAAGAGTTTGGGAAGAAACCCCTCCCCTGCAATATGGGTAACAAAATTCATGAATTTACAGCATGAGACTGTTTATCATAATTTGTAACCATCCGATGGATTGTCCAAAAAATGGTCATTCTGGAGTAGGTTCCTGTAGGGCCTCTAATGGCCATAGAATTTCTTTGGAAGGATGTATCTACAATATGGGTATCAAAATTCTTGAATTTTCACAGTGGCGTTTCCTTAACCTCAATCTACCTGTGCACCAACTCTCAAACCATAAACAACTATCAAAATATTGCTTGCAATCGATAGATATCGAGTAAACTAGAAGATTAAGTGTATTTTTCAGTCGATTCGAGTATGAATATGGCATTAAATCTGGCTTTGAAAGTTAGTGCACAGGTAAAAAGTGAGGTTACGGGACGCCACTGAATTTTCAGCAGTAGACTGTTCATCATATTTTCGTGACTATCTGACGGATGGTCCCCGGAAGTGGTTTGGATAGAATGCTCTTTATTTTTTGAAAATTTAAAAAAGAAACTTTTCTCATAATTTGTTTGTATCTGAATAAATTTCCATGGAACGGCCATTTTGGAACCAATGAATAATCGAGTGGTGGTGAGAAATTTAGTACGAAAACTCATTCAATTTTTATTTTCTTGAGTTTTCCTGGGGTTCAATCTCTCTGGGGGCATAAACGTTGTGGAATAATGTTGTATTGCGTTTTTGCAGTCTCTGCTGTGCTAGACATAAACTCACATTTCTCTGGACTATTAATCCTCATAAAACATTGTTAAAAAATTACAAGCACATATAAAGCAAACGAAAAAAAAATAGCAGTTATCGCAAATTTCTTGGCAGTGCTGATTGCACATGACTTACACTGCCCATAAAAGCATAACTGTCCCATATGAATAGGAAATCAAGCAAAGATGGGACAATTATGCGAGTATCGGCAGTACACATTTTCCTAGTCTTGCTACACTTGATATATTCACTTTTGCAGATATGACAGATGCCAATTTGTGGCGCCCGTCCGGACGGATCCCGTTCAACTGGAGTAGAACTACCTGCACGCTTCGAAAAAGTCATGTAAATTTAAGTGCTCTGAGACTGACATATACGAGCGTCAATTTTGACATAGAATGCAGTCATGACAGACGCGAAATTGGTTGCATGCAGGGTTGCTTCCACTCCCTTGCTATAGATGAGTGATTTTCGGAGTTTTGAATTCGTTAGATGTTGTAATGGGGATTTGTGTTTGTTGGATAAGGGAGGAGATTAGGGGGCGGGTGTCAGTTTCGCTTTCAGAGTGTCGCATTGTCGCAGAGTGTCGGCGGTTTTATGATTCGTAGAATCGTTGATTGTGGCTGCGAGTGGATTTGACGGGTTTTGTGTGTCGGACGCTTTCCTTTTGGCCTCTTCTTGTGTCTAGCATGTGCAAAGTATCATTATAGTGTCTAATGGTTTTCAGATTCATGGTTGCGTGAAATATGTGAGAATATCTTTTTGAGATTTTAGTAGTCACGTTTTGTTTGTAGTTTATATTTTGTTTATTTCATGTAATTATCGTAAATAATAGTTCTTCAATAATAGATAATTCATCCATATTCTCAATAATAAATTTACGAATGACTATAATTTGGATACCTAACAATTGGACAGAATCACTAGCAATAATAGGTTGCGGAGTGTTCGCCTTCGAAAATATCGAAAGACATTAAATTGGAGGCGGATTCTGGTACGGAATTACATGCTGCTATTTTGAGCAACTTATCGTCATAAAATTAAAAAAATTACATTTAGGTATTAGTCAACAAATGTGAATAGTAAGTTAGATATTTTATGGTATGAACTTTTCCAACAACTTTTCCAAACCATAAAGATTTTCAAGAAGATTATGATTAATCAAGATCGTGAATCCGGTGTTTAATTGGTCACCATAGACTAATCCGTCCGACATCGTAGTCACTTGAAAAATTTTCTCATCCACCCCGATCATTGCAATCCTATGGGGATAAAAAAAAAGAATGCAGTCATAACAGGCGCGAAATTGCACTCAATCAAACCAGTATGGGAGCACTCAATTTTACAAGAAATATTTGTTTACGTTTTTTTATGTCAAAGATGGATTCCGTCACGCGGGCTAAAGGTAAAAAATAAAAAAAAAAATATTTGAAGAGTAACACAAGAAAAGGGCCTACAAGCTTTTCGTAAACAAACCTTCACATGCCATTGAGATTGCTGACGTGTATTGCACTAGTGTGCTTACGCGTATACGTATACACCAATGTTACTGCGCTTTGTGAGAAAGTATTAGTGAAAATATGTGGAAAATAATAGCAAACCGCCATCCATCGGATGACCACAAAATTTTGATAAACAGTCTCCTGCTGTAAATTCATCAATTTTGATACCCATATTATAAGGGTCTCTTCCCAAACACTTCTATGGCCACTAGAGTCCCTAAGGAAACCTGCTCCGAAATGGCCGTCCCGGGGCAATCCATCGGATGACCACAAAATTTTGATAAACAGTCTCCTGCTGTAAATTCATCAATTTTGATACCCATATTGCAGGAGTTTCTTCCCAAACACTTCTATGGCCTCTAGAGGCCCTACGAGAACCTGCCCGGAATGGCCGTTACGGGGAGAAACCTTAAACTGATCCTCAAGTAAGCTGAAATTGTTTCTTGAAGGAGATTCTGATATTTTGATATCAAATTCTTCGAAATTCTAGCGAAAGGGGCAAGAAAATGCTTAGTTCTGGAACATTATACAGGAAATCCGGATTTCCGGGAACCAAACTATTCCGGATGGTTGTAGGCAATGTCCAAAAAGAGGATAAGTTTCTGAATCCATTGGTGCCAAAAGATTCAAAATCGGTCAAAATTGGCCGCAGTAGCAAGTATTTCAATTTGTGCGTACCCGGGTACCCTTGTCGAGCTCCTAAAGGTTATGGATAAAGAATTTAGGAAAATGACTCCTATTTAATTAAAATGACCTACAGTTGATGAATTCCGAAAATAATAAACTCTATTTGCAATTAATTATTTAACTTAGATTTGAAAAATGTGAAAAAGAAATGACATTACCATTGCCAGAAATACGGCAATTTAAAATTTATCTAATTTATAACAACGGTTGTTATAGATGTATATTTTCGAACGCGATAGATTATATCTAAATTTGTAATAATTGTGATGTAATCATATCAACGTCTGTAATAATTTTGTTATCACTAGATGAATTTTTGTTATGATTTTTGTTATTCTAGCAACTAACCAGCCAATGTTTATAACACGTTCTGTTACATTTTTTTTAAAATAAATAACTAGTTATAATTTTGTTATGCCCTTCTGATCCGGCATGCATTAAAAAAAATCAATTTCACTAGGATTTTTTTTCTGCTTCAGAAAAACCTATCAACAGACAAACATTTCCATACTGTCATGTGCCATTGGATCGCTTTACTCAAGGCTAACCGCTTCTCTCTACTCTTGTTTCCACTTTCAGCAGAGCCCAAGATTGTACCATCGGAGACGACAACGGCCGAACCAACTGCGGCGGCACAGTAAAGAACCGGACGCGTAGTCGTGCTCCTTCTGCACCTACACAGATAACACACACACACATACAAAACGTTGATCATCATTTCCTTCGCGCAATTTACCTTGTTCTAGGAGATCATTCATGAACAACTATCTTCTTTTCTCGATACGATCAGTCCACCCGCAATTGGCAAAGAAGAGTTCCAAAAGGAAGAAATCAACGGTTAGAATTCTAACCCACAACATACATCAGCGTCCAACAGATGTGCATTTCAGAAAAAAATTTCTATCATTTAAAATTCTTCTCTTTGTCAGGAATACAAAATGCTACTTCTGCGCTGCTGGATCCTCAAATACTTGGACCAAAACAAGTATGCAATCGGGTCCAGAAGTAGTTATACCAGCTCACTATCTTAGTAGGTATTTGTTTTTTTTTTTCATTGCGGTAGGAATTCAAAGTATGGTTTTATTTCCTTCTTCAACAATTTTATAAAATTTGAAACAATTTGTAGAAGTGCAGCACGAGTATTGAAGAAACTTATTACGGAATAAGATGTACGATTTCTACACACCTGAGACAGATTCGATCCATTGGAATGTGGCAACAGATCGATAGCATTAGGGCAATATTGATGTTTCGTTTTTCAGTTTTGTTTTATTGTTCAGATGGAAGGAAATAGAATTTAGTAGAACAGATTGAGAGATCACTGTGAAGTATATAGATGTTAAGCGCAAACAACTTAGATTCTGACCTGGAAAACAATTTAAATGTAGAATTTTTAATTTGCTGATTTCTTCAACCTCCACCACAGTGTAATGTAGTGGTTAGTAAAGATGACACCTGAAATACTATCTAACTTGTTGGAGTTATTTCTGCTGTATCTTTGCTACCTGAACTTGATGTAACGAATCCATAGTACGGCTGGTTAAAACAGGGGGCAAAATAGTTCGGTTTTTAGCCTCACAAAAAGAGTTTTTTTTCTGTATTTAATTTCTTCAGGCGAAAACAAGGATCTTAAAGAATTTCAGATTAATATTTTTGCCATCTTAGAGATATGATTTATACATTTAACAAAACAAAAAAGAAAACATTATTAAAATGGTAAAAACGTTTGAGAAATAAACACGCGAGTCTTGGAAAAACAAACAAAAATGATAATCGATTTTCATATTTTTTCGAACTGGCAGGAACCTGAGAACATACACATCTACACACATATACACAGGCAGACAAACAGGCAGGCACGTTTGCACCACGTATCGTATGTATGTATGTATGTACATATGTTGTGCATTGGTGTACGCGAATGAAACAAAACACAAAGAAAAAAGATAAGAGAAAATACAAAAAATACATCTTTTTAACTAATGTATAGGTTATTTTATTATTGTGTCGTGAATGAGACCGAAAGAGATGATAAATATAGAAATATGGACAAACAAAGCTGGGAGTTGACGATTTCATTCGATGGCATCCATGGCTTTTTTGAACTTTTAAAAACTCAACAGTTCCCGAATGGTCACACTCAGGGCTGTCATCTGATCACTCAATGCGCTAATTTTCTGAAATCCACTAAGTTAGGATCAAGCAAACACAACCACCCATATTCTTGTTTTCGTTCGAACCGTATTTTCCATACAAAAAACCTTTTTTTTCAGATCTCAACCAAATTCCTTCAAATTTTGCACTGCTGTTGGGAACCTCAATATAAATAAAAAGAGCCATAAAGAGCGAATATTTGTGACCCTCTCTTATACCAACCGGTCAGCACTCGTGTTTATTTCAGTTACCGTGGGGATTTAAATACTGTGCTGAAAAAAAGTGAGACATTGATTAGTTTGTAACTTTTTAGCGTGTGGGTAAACATTGATGTAATTTTGACTGAACTAGCTAAGAGTGTAATGTTTACACTGGTAGAATATCATTACAATCTGTCAATTGGTTATCGAGATGGCATCGGAGCAAGAGTCCATAAAAGTCCCTTTATTTGGTATTCATTGACTACGAAAAAGCTTTCGACCGTCTCAATCACGAGAATCTGTGGCGCGCCCTGAGACGCAAGGGAGTCCCGGATAAACACCCCTATTCTGTATTTCGTTTCGAACGAAATTCTCATACAAAAAAATATTTTTTTGTATGAGAATTTCGTTCGAAACGAAATACAGAATAGGGATGAAAATCGTCAACCTCATCGAAGCGCAGTATGAGATGCTATTACCATAGAGGTAACTCTAAGACCACTGGGTCCCGAAGAAAATCATTATTATTTTTGGCTCACTCAGTACCAGAACAACGGTCCCAAGCAGTCCCAAGCTATTTCACTCACCCCTGCATGTTCTGCATGAATCCACACACCCCTGATGTTATCTGTCAAACTTTCATAGCGAATCAAAACAAACATAGTGTAGTAATAGAATTTCAACTAGAATAGGGTACGTTAATCGTTTGCTTGGGACCAATAGGCTACTAAAGTGGTGAGCCAATTTAAAATCGTTAGTTTCGTATTGATTGTTGCTATTACCATAGAGGTAACTCTAAGACTAGAAGGTCCCGAAATAACGTGCTCAACTTTTTGGCTCAGCTCTGGTACTCTCTTCGGTCCCAAGCTAATCGATTCACCCCTCGAAACATAGGAAATACCAATAACCCCTCATTTTATCTGTCAAACTTTCATAGCTTATCAAAACAAACATTGCGTAGTACTAGAATTTCGACTAGAATAGGGTACGCTAGGGGAAGGACAGCTCCAAGTATCAGCATCAATACCGATGGTGGAAATATTAAATATTTTAATATGTGTGATATTAGCGAATCTTACACCTAGTCTGACAGTTGTTTTTTTTTTGTTTGGCTATTTTTGGTTTAAAGTGTACATTTGACATTCGTTTAATCAAAAATGGATTTCACACGAGAGTCAAGTCATTCCTTGATGATCTTGCTGGCCAGGGCCACCAAAATCCACTCCTTGTTCTGATAAATTTGGCATTCTTTGGTAGCTGATCTCAGTGCATATAATCTGGGGCACTTCCGTTCCCAGGAAATAATCATTAATCTTCACGAATTCTTCATTGTCTGCAATCCAATGTTCAGTCCTCCGATGGAACGGGAATCGACTGACTACGGTGCCCCTGTAAACGGAGTCCCATAGTGATGGTTCCGTGGTCGTAATACATTCGCCATGAACCTGCAATTTGGAGAGATTTGCTGCTGGGGGAACTTGCCTAGTCGAGTGCCGTTTTTATCATCAAAAAAGCCGAAGGCGAAAACGATCAGAGCTATCGAAAACAAAAATCTAGGCAAAAATGATGAAACAGAAAGCTGCAGGTAACATAAACAACAACGGTGAAACGTCATTGAGTGTATGCGTTAAAGCTACACTGTTATTTTTTTTACTTTGTAGCTTTCCACTTGACAGTTAATATCATTAATATTTATACTAAAAACTATAATAACTACCAATATGAGCAATTTCTACACCAAATATTACTTCATATCAAGTTGTACTCTCCCTAGAGGGTACGTTAATCGTTTGCTTGGGACCAATAGGCTACTAAAGTGGTGAGCCAATTTAAAATCGTTAGTTTCGTATTGATTGTTGCTATTACCATGGAGCATCTCAACGACTTCGATTTGGCTGATGATGTTGCTCTACTAGCACAACGGCGCTCTGCTATGCAGAGTAAGCTCAATGACCTAGCCGAACGCTCCTCTGCGGCGGGTCTCACCATCAACGTCAACAAGACCAAATCGTTGGATATCAACACGGGCAACCCTTCCAACTTAACGGTAGTGGGGCAAGCAGTGGAGAAGGTCGAAAGTTTCCAATATCTTGGTAGCCAAATAGCGTCGGAAGGCGGGACCAAGAGCGACATAGGTGCACGAATCAAGAAGGCTAGGGCTGCCTGTGCGAGTTTACGAAACGTATGGAGATCCAACCAGATAAGTCAACGCACCAACATCCGAATTTTCAACTCGAACGTGAAATCTGTGTTGTTACACGCCAGCGAGACGTGGTGTGTATCAGCGGAGAACACTCAAAAGCTGCAGGTCTTCATCAACCGATACCTGCGGTACATAATTCGTGCCTGGTGGCCTCACAACTGGATCTCGAATGCCGAGCTCTATCGTTGATGTCATCAGAAGCCGATAGCAACAGAAATTCGAGAGCGAAAGTGGAGGTGGGTCAGCCACACACTTCGACGGAGCGGAAACGAAATCTGCAAGCAAGCGCTGGATTGGAATTCGGCAGGACATCGCAGCAGAGGCAGACCCAGGGGCTCATGGCGGCGGAGCCTCACGTTGGCCCTTTGCACCGCTGGTGGTGCACAGGACCCTTAAGTAAGTCAGTATCGGAGCAAGAGCAGATCCGCCAAAAAATCTTGTGCGCCGTCTCGTAAAATCCGACTGCGTCCCACAGATGCATCACCTGCGGCAGAAATCTGAAGACAGCTGACCCGGTGAAGACCAGGAAGGTGTTGAGTCTGTTCAAGTTTCGACCGAATCTTTCGATCCGCGATGAGGCGAAGAAGACGGATGTTCTTATCTGGTTTGTCCATAAAATGATGAAACGTGCCGGCTTCCTCGTCTTCAGGGTCCGGAAGGCACCGAACCGGAACGACAAACAAAACACGGTGGCCAAAATCCGCACCAGGAAGCTGTACCGGGAGCGGCTGACGAATCCAAATTGCCGGGGCAGGAATTTTACGTTGCCACATCACGGTTGTCCGTTCCTGAAGAGGTAAGGAAGAAGAAGGTGGACAAATTCGCCAAAAAAAAAATCTATTTTTGGCAGGCCATCTGTGGGTGCGGCAAGATGGGCCAGCCGTACATCACGATGGGTACCATCAACGGGCAAATCTACCGGGACGAGTGTCTCCAGAAGCGCCTCCTACCCTTCCTGCGGTCTCACAGAGGCGAGACGCTGTTTTGGCCGGAGTTGGAAATGTTCTCAGAAGTACTGCGGATTTTTCAGATATTCTACGGACACCTCGGATATTCTATAGACTTTCCGGAAGTTCTATGCGCGGCCGGTGTTAGACTGGTACAAAAACAACAATGTTGTTTTTGTTCCAAAAAACGTCAATCCACCGAACTCGCCGGAACTTCGCCCGATTGAGAAGTTTTGGGTCATCATGAAGGCCAGGCTTCGTAAAACACCTAAGGGTGCAGTGGGTCCAGTGGGTAACAGTCGGCCCCACAATTGCCCAAAACCCTATGAGTGAAGGCATTCGGTAATGGAGCGGAGATCCAATAAAGAAAGGAAGTAGAAACCTAACCATAATGTTGTAGTTTATTCCCTGAAAGATTGAAGAAAATCTGACTAAAACGAACACTTACACTTTTTTCGAGTACAATCTTTAATTTGTGATTAGCCCCGGTCCCGTTCAAATTGTCTCGTTATTTATGAACGGTTCTTATATTTGAAATAGATATGTTTCCGTATTTGCTTTTTTGCCTTTGTTGTTGCTTAAGTTGCTGTAAGAAAATAATATGCTGCAGCAAGTACGGGAACATGCTTTTGCTTTTTGCTTTACAGAATCTTACGTGACTGCTTTCTCTCCCAATGGGTCTGGGTTCAATCCCAGCCAAGGTCGGTGGGATTTTTCTGAGGCATAAACATCTCTGGTCACGTCTTCCTTCGGAAGGGAAGTAAAGCCGTTGGACCCGGCCCATGCGTGTTGATGACTTCCTGCACATTCGATTGCCGTCAATGGATGGCAATCGATGTCCGTCGGTGATTGGCACTAGATTGTAGAACAGAGACCGACGTTAAATAAAGGAAAGAAGAAGAATCTTATAGAAAAGCAAGTACGGGAACATACCTATTATTTCCCTATAAGGAAACGATTAATCGATTAACTAACCGAAAAGTAAAATATTTGTAATCGGTTAGGCCGTTCGCAATGCTGTTGTATTTTATAACGACTGTTTCAATTTGAAACTAGAACAGAAACGCACCTCTCGCAATGCTGAGTTGCAGTTTCATTATTCGAGCACTATTTTGCGCCAGATTTGCAACTGCTCGAATATTCTGTTTTATTTCTGAGCGAGTTTGAAACACGAATGGAACTCTGTTTCAAATTTCTTTGGATGTGTTTAAAGATGTTTCGAAGAGCTTCACAAACAAAAAACGCAGAACTTCATAAAATTTATGGAACTTGATGATTACAAACATCTTTTAGAACTATGCGTTGCGCTGATCGTGTTGTAATTTTATTTTTGACAGTTTCAAATTATAGAATTGTCGAGTAGTTTAAAACAATTTTGAGTTTCAAAATTTGTTTTAAACTCCTGGACAATTCTATAATTTGAAACTGTCAAAAATAAAACTGCAACACGATCAGCGCAACGCACAGTTCTAAAAGATGTTTGTAATCATCAAGTTCCATAAACTTTACTGTTTTCTATGAAGTTCATAGAGTTTTTTGTGAAGCTCTTCGAAA